TGAAAAATTGTACCCAACAGCTAGTAGAAGAGAAACTAAATAATTTTTAAGTTTGTGAATAAACAGGATAGATCCAGTAGTGAAATTGGGGAACAGTATCAGTGAATTGTAGAGATTTGAAAATACTTGCACCATGAAGAGAGTGGGAAATTATCAACACATATTTTAAGCACAAGAGACTATCAAAACATCAAGGTAGACCAAACTGCAAGTCCAGATCAGAAAGAAACTACCACGGACCCTTGATTTACAAACTCAATTTGTTCTTGAGGGCTGGTTGCAACTCAAGTTGGTCAATTGTCTTCAAAGTCTCTTTCATGCATAATTTTAGGACAGAATTTCTTCCAGGCAGATCTCATTGTCCTTAGAGAGACATTGGCCCAGGATTTCTCAATTAATCCCACACAGGCAAGGATGTTGTAATGTTCCTTCCAGAATTCTTTGAGTTAAATCCGGCATTCTACCAGACTTTGGTTGTAAGGTAAAACTAAAATTCCTATCATAACCCAAGTTGTTCGTATGTCAGGCCATTCGTAAGTGAAGGGTCCACTGTATGAGGAGCATTGTATACCATACTAAGTAATATGGATTTTATTTTTTGAGCAGTGGACATCTCCTAAAGATTTTGATGAAAATTTAAATCCAGTATAATATAAGTGATGTAGTTACAGACATAAGGAGGTATTTAAGTCATAAAGTTGAAAGAAGACATAGGCAAAGATGACAGAGATGCTGGATATGAAGGGATTGTGAAGTAGGAGACAAGAGACACTTTTAGATATACATGTCAGGATTTTTTGACCAATCAGACTTCAAATATAAAGTTTCTCTATTAGGTTTAAATTTTGGATATCTGTGTGAAAGGGAAGAAAATGAGTTCCAGTTTGGAAACAGATGAGTTTGAGATGCTTGTAGAAATTCATAATAATTAATTATTTGAGAGCCCATGTCATCTTTTCAGAAATATAGATGATAATCCCATAACTTCTAGAACCATATTTTACATCACTAAATTGTAAGGTTTTTCCTTCACTTGTAAAAATTATATCGAATTAATGAAATTCCTCTTTAATTCTTTTTAAAGTGTTTAACAATCAACATGATGCTACTTGCTAATGAAAACATTTCAAGAAAAATAGGAATAGAGTGTCTAATTTTGCAATTATTCCTGATAGTAGGTAACTTTATTCATAATAGTTAAAAGCGTACCTCAAAATGATTATTTCAAATTTAGTAACATTTTTCCACTTTATAGCTTTTTAAAAAATAGTATTCTAGCTACAAAAGCTTTCACTGATTCAAATATTTCAGCATTTAAGGAAAATATTTCAGACAACTACAAAAAAGTAAGTTTCTTCCTCATATCTCCATGACTTAAGAACAAATAAATCTACCAAAACTCCTGTACAAAGAGAAATGGTTAAAGAGTAATTGTCAATAAACATAAAATATTTTAACTTAGAAATATAACTGAGTTAACAATCATTTTAATGTTTGTTACGGCTTTTGTGTAAAGGCTAAGGAAAGTATATGAAGAGTATTTTGGGCTGGGGGGCTAATGTACTTGTAAAAATTCAAAGCTAAGCCACAAAAATAGATATTGCTTCCATGGGAACATAAAAGAATAGCAATAAAACAGGAAAGGGATGTTGAAAATAAAATCCTAAAATCTGTTCTTTTACAAAATAAGCAAGAGAAAAATCTAAAATTGCTATTAAGTATTATCCTGAAAATACTGAATTCAATCAAAGCAGAAGTCATAATAATTGAGTTTTATGTGATGATTTAACTTTTTCATAGTATGTATTTGTTAGAATAGAGCTAGAAGCAAGTCACTGTTTGTAGCTGAACAATACTAAAGGAAGTTACATTTTTATTTTGCCTTTGAAATTAGCCACTGAATGAATACTTTAGCTTTTACTTTTTGAAATAAAATAAAAAATAATTGAGAACATAAGTGAAAATAACATAAAGGGAATAACTGATGCCAATGGACAAATATAAGAAACAAGAGACTAGTGACAAGTAACAAGATTTCAGAGAAATCTTTTATGCATTTTATGGACAAATATTGTGCTCACTTCAGCAGGATGTATAAATTTTATGGACAAATATTAAAGCTAAAATATTAAGTAGCTTACTCATAAATTACTCAGTCAAGTTGATGATATTACAAAATGATGTCCTTCTATTCTCAACAGTCTCCATTTTTATTATGAAGGTAACATATGCAAAAATGTGAGGTAAAAGTGAAAATCTCTATTCTAATTCTAACTTCCTTTTATTTTTTATTTTTTGTTGTTGTTGTTGCTTTGTTTTTTTGGTTTTTGGTATCAGGGATTGAACTCGGAACCTTGTGCTTGTGAGGCAGGCGGTGAAACCACTGAGGTAAATCCCTGGTCCCAGCTAAATCCCTGGCCCCCTAACTTCCTTTTAGATTTATTCTCCTTAACAATCTATATTCCAGACAGATTACAATCCTAGTAGGTTACTACACTTATATAATATATATATTATAAATTTACAGAAAAATACTCATATATGTTTTTCATAAATAGGATCATTGAAAGAGGCACTCTAGATTTTTCCCATTTTGTATTTTCAATGACAGTACTTATATGCCTTCCTTTGCTACTTATGTGACTACACAATATTCCTTACTATGTATACATTAATATTTATTTAACTATTCATCTTTTAATAGATATTTAGTTGTATATATATATATATGTGTACACTATTAATAAGTACATAGGTTGAAAAATAAATATGATTTCAGTTTCTCACTTGTCATTAAATTGACAATGTAAAGGTATTAGAATGTATTCAGGAATTTTTTTTGTTTATTGCTTATTTTTTCACTTACTTTATGAACCCCTAAGATTGGTGTTTTTGTTTTCCTTTGGTTACAATGACAATAGGTAAAATTATTCCTTCACAATCTCTACGAGGTGATAAATGTAAAAACCCATTGTTCTGACCATGAAGACCCTGATGTCTTTGTTTGACTCGTTTATTATGTGCCTCTCAAATCACAATCACTGTGCCACATGCTGGGAATGAAGTTAGGGTTACAGGGGATTGGGAAAGCTTATTTGGGGTATTTGCAATTTTGTAAATAAATAATGTAGTTTTTAATACTTATGATCTGGGTAAATGGTGTAATTCACACAAATATGAATATATGAGAATCCTTTTTAACACTATCCTTGCCACCTTATTGAATTTTTAAAGGTAATTTATGTCAAGTACTTTTTCTCTTTCATTTTAGTATGCATTAGAATTAGAGTGAGATCATAAGGAATGTTTTTTGGTTTCTGTACATCATTATGGTACAAATGATTAGTTGATTTTTCCCCATAACCTGTTGAAATGGATTATAGCAGTCAATTCTGAATGCCCATCCAATGTCTGTGATAAATGACTTGTGAGAAGCAGCCATGTGTGTCTCTGAGGCCAAAAATTCAGTGATTTTGTACTTAGGTGTATTCAAGTAACATATTTTGGCCAAAGAGACATACAATACATAGAAGAATGTTGAATTTTACTTTTTCCAAAAAAAAAAAAGTAGACATGACCCTTAGAACTCTTCCTCACTACACTTTTTCTTATCCTGAATGTGGGCACACTGTGTGGAGAAGATTCATTAAACTCTTCTGACCAGCTGATGACTGTGAAAGTTAACTACAAGGATTCCTCATGAAATTATTTATGACTTAAACAAATGTCCACACTTGACTACATTCATACTTATGTGAAAAAATTAAACCCCACACCTTTACTCTTCTGGTTTTTCTTAATTTTCATTCTTATTTGTACCTGTTTGCAATACATAAGATTAAAATCATAACATCTTAATTCTTTGTATGTCCTCTTCCCCTTCTCCCCCTCGCTGCCCTCCCCCAAGCTTTTGCAATTTATAGATAAATTTGTCAGAATTCCTTTGGTTTGTGACAGTAGAGGCCTTTCATTTATTGTGAATCAAAACAATAAGCTGGATCATTTAAAATCTTTTTTCCTCCATCTGCCTATATTGTTTTTTCTATGATCTTTCATCATAAACTTATTTTCACAAACACTATAATTTAGAGATTTGCTTTTAAATATTTTCTTGTATGAAGTAAAACTTTGGAACCCTACTTGGCTTTTAATTATTAATTGTTTCATCTCTAAGGAAAGCATTGAATCATATAGGATCTGTGCAAAATATGGTATCAAAACATCACAGGGCCCGTTATGTTCTTGTTTTACAGTACAGAGTTACCATGTAGTCCTGAATCCACATGTGCTGGATAGACTACCTTTTGCAACCTTAGTTCACTCTAACTTAGAACTTACACCCCTTAGAAAGAACTCATAACTTCGGCACCAACTTGCCAGCAGCTGTCTCAAGCTCTGTCTTGTTTTGAACATTTTCCAGGAATTCCGAATTCTTTCTTTCAAAGGAGCAAGGCTTCTTAAAACAGAAGACTCACAACCGAGCAACCTTGTTGTAGAGACACATTCCAAGACTTAAGCGGATATGAAATTCTTTCTTATGCTCTGATAATTTTCTGAGAATTAATTGAACTGATGAAACCAAAAATTTTTCTAGGGTTTTAGTCAGCCTTCAGTGCTAACTCATGTACTTAAAATTTTTATTGAAATTCAAAACTTGTAGAAATCCTGATACACATAAAAAGTAACAGAAGAAACAGAGTAACCGTAGAATAAAGTATAACCCTAATTTGTTCATCATGATAAAGTGAAATGGGTCTAAAATATTTAGCTATCTTCTTAAAATGTATGTTCATTGAAAGTATTACCCTTTGATTTACTTTTGCAACACTCTTTTAACATACTTGGAACGATAAAATAGCCAAAACAGTTCTTGGTTTGAAGGCTCATTTTTTTTTACTAAGCTAAAAACTTATTGTTATTAGCACATGAGCCATGACCTACACTAACAGTTTTAACAATATTTTCCCCCTGAATTTGTAAGCTGATAAAAAAGAGTTTACCTGGTTTCCTCCCATGCCATGACAATTGAATATACCCACTTTTTCATTTTCCTTGCGGCCCATGTTGTCTAAACATTGATTGGTTTCAACATTTCTTATCTAAAGGGGAGACACACAAAAAGAGAAGGTAAGTCAGAAAATCTTTGTGATATTATTAAAGTACATTGTTCACTAAATGATGCAAGTTTGTAAGGAAATTCCCCAAAAATATTTTACTCTAAATATTTATTTTTCTTTTTTGATTGTCTATACTTATTCTCAGTTTGTAAACTCCTGCTGAAGTAAATTTGAACAGCACTGCCTTTGGCATTAACACCTAATCAAGTTGTAGTATCAGAGAAGAAGAAACATCTGCATGAATTAGGAATTCTTCTCAAATCCTCTAAAGATTAAGACAAATAATTTCCCAAATAGCCTCAGTTCATTTTTGAAATCCCAGACTACCTACCACATCCAAAAAAGTAAAAACAGTGTTTAAATATTCAAGTTTAAAAAGAGTGATCATCATATATGGTGAATGTTTAAATTTTTAAAAATAATAGTAAAAGGCACCCTGCTATTAACCTCCCTCCAAATATTCCCCCTACTTTGAACACACTTAGACCACTGTTCTTGCTGCTTTCTAAAGTGGCTCTTTGCTGAGTGTCTTTATGAGGTTGATCAAAAACATGGTGAATGCCATTGCTGCATGCTATTCAGTAAAAAAGGCAGGCTCATAAAAACATTATGGTGTGTCCTTCTGCCATATTCACCAGATCTGGCACCACGCAAATTCTGGCTCTTCTCCAAAGTCAAAATGACCATGAAATGTAAATATTAAGGCAAATTGTACCCAAATAACCACACTCCATTCTTGATCTTCCATCCAGGGAATCCATTCAGGACATCAAGGCAGCCACAATAGAATAACTAAAAGTACTTACAAAAGAGCATTTACAGAACTGCTTCAGAAAGTGCCAAGAACAAGAACTGATGTGCTTGATCTCAGGGGGAATATTTTGAGGGGGATTAATGGCCATGTACCCTTTACTCTAATAGACTTAAAAATTTTAAATACATTATATTTTTCAGTCTCACCTGGTATGGTTTATCCTGTGCATTAATAAATATTAATTATGTTGTTTATTTCTGTGACTAAAACATGTATCTTCTTTCATTCATATTGCCAAACTTAATGAAAATGCTTGACCCTAAGAGAAACTGTTACAAAGTTAACTGGAATTTCACATTGCAGATTATTGAGAACCAAGATTAAATTGCCAACTGCAGACATAAGATTCTTGATTTACACTCAAACACTGTATTCATCCCCTAATTAACATAAATTAATGAATATTTGAGAGAAATATAATTACAAATGTCTTTTATTTTCAAGATGCTAAAATTACTAAATCAAGCACAAATTAATATAGAGAAGGAGGAGGAAGAGGAAGAAGGATCCTTCTATTGAATGATTTGTTTTGGATGGCTTTTCCTTATTTTTGACTCTAAATATATATTTGTAATTATGCAACCTGTGTGTGAGAATTTTATATCTCTAACCCATATTAGGACATGCATGTTTTAGTGTTCCTTCAATAAAATTACTTGTATATTTTTATATACAAGCTATATATTGATTTGACATCTTAGTTTTCCACTTTGGCAAACTAGTAAGATCAGATATTTATATATAAACTTACAGAGAAGATGGATTAAATTTATATGATTAACTTTGTGTGTGGTGAATAACCTCATGGTCAAGTACTGGCTCATGGAGTTGGGAACAGTGTTATCATTTGCATTAATACCCCAGTCAGAAGATGAGAATAGTGGAGATCAGAGTTCACACTTGGTATGGATTGGAAAGAGCAGGTCAAGCCCTGTTCCAATGCGCTGAACTAGAGAGCAGTCATGAATGATTTTATCAATAAATCTGTTTAGAAAGTATAGAAAACACAATAAATATTTCAAGAAAAGGATTTAGGTTTCCAGAAGCAAAACACATATGGGCAATATAGGTTTGAAATATGTCCTGAATCTGATTTTGGTTGGTTCAGGAATTAGAGGGAACTGAGTGTACAGGCCAATGATTTCTCAGGATCTGTAGATAGACAATATTGAAGGAGGTAATAATTGATAGATGATATAGTAAATATACCCATATATACTATACATAGTAGAATATCAGAAAAGTAACAGTCTGATCAAATTATATACATGTAAGTAGAATTGTTTTCAAATACTTAACATTGGTCTCTTTATAACTTTTCATAAAAGATAAATTTTTTGAGAAGCAATAAAATTATTTTTTATTACTGCAATTTAGTGTCATAAAAGTATAGAATAATATTTTGCCATAATACTTAATAGTAATATCACAAAATAATTCATTTTTTAAATGTAAGCTGTTCTATCTGATTTAATGGACTCTGCTAGGAGCTTGGTACAGTACTTGAATAGATACTAGTTAACAATCACAAGCCTTTACCGAATGAGGTTTTTTAAGTTATTGCCCCTTTAACAGACAACAGAAAATTTAAAGTATATCCCACTACATAATCTAATATGCATCTGATAGCATGACACATTAAATGTTGAAAATTAAATACAGAATTGAAGAATATCTCCCAAATATTTTCCCTCAGTAACAACTCATTATCAATCTCCTTTTTATAACAGTTTCTTTTTTGTTTGTAGTACTTCCAATGTATTAATTCAACCAAGAAATACTATTGAGACAATACATACATCACGCCTAACACTATTTGAGGTTGGAAGATATAGGAATGAATAAAATATACATACTCTCTTCCATTGTGGAGCTCACATTTTAGAAGGAAAGAGTGCAATAGACAGATTTATACCATCAGAATATCAAGAAACCTTACAAAAAATATAAAGGAGAGTAAGGGTAGAGAAGTTGATGAAGGGGTGCTATTTTGGAAAGAAGACCAGAAAAGTTCACTCTGAGGAGAAGATACTTGAAGAGACAATTTAAAGAAGTCAGAAAGTGATATTTCCATCTAAAGAAGAGCATTTCAGGACAACAACTAATATATGCTCCCTATACCTAGTTGAGAATACTGAAATAGCAGGTTAGCAATGGGGCCACGTGTGAAACAGCGAGCAAAGGGCAGGCTAGAGAATTTTCCAAGGTTAAATAATGTAAAGAACCATAGCTCTTTGAATGTGAGTACAGAATAGTAATAACTATTCTGGCTTTTGTCAGGAGAACAGAGTAGAGGCGGGGACTGGAAGCAGCGAAACAAGTAGGCAGCATACTAAGTCAGACTAGCAAGAAAGAAAAAGGTACTCGGAACGGAAGGATAATAATGGGGGTGGAGAGTTCAGATTTGAGATTTTTTTTAAGGCAAAGCAGCAAGACTTCCAATTAAATTGGATATGAGCTGTGAGAGGAAAAAAGACCTCAAGAAATATACAAAGTTTAGGTCTGAGAAAATGGGCAAGTGATGTTTTCTTTACTGGGAACAATACTCCGAGTTCTTGTATGTTGATAGCTAACACTGTCTTTTATACCTGAAAATCAGTTTGGTAGATCTGAAGTCTTTGGCTGATAATGTATTGTCTGGAGTATCTTTAAAATGTTCCTGCATTTACTTCCAGCATAAAAAGTTGTTTCTGAAAAGTCTCATGGCAATCTGGCTTTTCCTCCTTATTATACTTAACTTACTGTATTTTCCACCTTTATTATATTTACTTAGATGCTAAACTGACTTTTTTCTTTAAAATATAATAGATTTATTACAATAGATATTGGTATTGTCTATTATGGATACTCCAGGTATGTAGTGTGCATTTTCATCACTTAGGTTCAATTTTATTTTTAGGGAAGTTTTCTTGATTTATAGTTATTAATACTCATTTTGTTTCATTGCACTGATTTTCCATTTAGGAAATATTATTTTGGATTTTGTTGCTCCTCTTCTATGTATATTACTCTTGATCAAATAATTTTAAAGTCTCTTCTTTATTTAAACATTCCTCTCTTTTCTGAAATCCCAATGGCATTTTCTTTTTGAATTATTATTATTATTATTATTATTATTTTCTTGTACCAAGATTGAACTCAGGATCTTGCGCTTATGAGGCAGGCAGCGGAACCAATGAGCTAAATCCCTGGCTCTTTTTGAATTATTGATCATGCCTTCTCAAATGTTTAGTGTTCATTGCTGAAATTATTTTTTCCTATATTTTCTAATTTTTCTTGTATTCTTGAAGCTCATATCAGAGAATTCCTAACTTTGATTTATAGCGTTATTCTCTATACTTTAACAATTTCAATATTTATTTTTGCTTCTTTTTAATAATTAGTTTACACTTTCCCTTTGTCTTAGGAGCATAGAGTTTTGGTGTGTTTGTATTATTTTCAATGATACTTTATTCTTATTATTTAGTCTTAGGGTATTCATTCATTTTGTATTATTTTTTCCGTTTGCATAAAACCAATTTTCCTCGATATTTTAAGCAAGAGGAATTGATGACAGGGCCCTTTCTAATTTAACAAATCTAGAATTGCCTCTACTGTACTTTTTTGAAGTGTAAAAAAAAGCCCTTCTACTTTTTCAGATTCCCTGCATCTGTTCACCTCTTCTCTTGTTATGTGAACTTTTCATTTCCTTTGCCCCTATTGTCCCTAACCTCTCAGTTTGCCTAGCATTCTTTTTGTTTTAATGGGGGAATTAAAAAACATTCACAACTGCTGATTTTTTCAAGAATTCTGAAGTAGATTTATTTTCAGGATTACTTGAAAAACAAACAAAAATGTCCTATATTCGATGTGTTCTAATTATTCCACGTTCAATATGGTTTGGTAGTTTCTGCCATGTAATGTTTTTTTGTCCTTTACAGTGTCCAGATACTAAGAGAATGTAATACAGGAGCTTAAGTATGGTCAGGCTGGCTGGACATCAAAGCTGGGAGAATAACTAGAGGCAGGGGTCTGTGGTTTAGAAAACCCATCACAATGAGATCAAACCCTTCTAACATCTGAAAGTTCTAAAAACTCTACAGCACATGAATTCTTGCAAATCAGTAAATGTTGCAGTTCTCTATGATAATACATATTAAATAATAATATTAGAATGAATTCCAGTTAA